TAAATTACTGTTATTTCCTCATTTCTCCTAAGCTATCTCAGCAACTGCACAGGTCAGACGAAAGTTCACAGACACAAACACGCTTCCCGGGCAGCATTTTGCTATTAACAGGGGCATCCTAAGCGTTGGCTAAATAAAGGAAGATATATTTTATATTTAGTTCTCCTTGAGATGCAGCAATTAAAGTGCAAATAAGAGAAAATTGAAGGCTGTGTCTTAACACTGACTTTTTTTCCTTATGTGTTCAAGATCACTTGATTTTTGGAGGCCGATGGTACAAATCCCAAAGGCACTTCACACAGACACTCCTACTTGGTGCATGAGGGTCACATCATTAAGCACCAGCATGTTGTGCATAGGTCGTGTCTTCAGAAGTGCAATGCTACTGTATATTTTAAAGAGCTATAAGTCTACAGAAGTGATACAGCTTTTATAGAATATTTAAGGAGTTCTATGGCAGGATTCTGCTCAATATTAGAGGACTTTCCCAGAAATGTGGATTTATAGCAAAGATTAATTTGTTCTAGCAGCTGCATGGTGTTTTGCCGCTATGGAGGTCCCCATGCACAGATTTAATCAAATCTCACATGTTCTTTTTCTCCCGTGGGCTGCAAAAGGGCCGCAAAAGCTGCTTGCAGCGGTGAAAAATCTTCATTTTGAAGACTCTCCAGTGAGAAGAGAAAGCAGAATGAATACAGCCAGTCCATACCTGATATGTTTGTAAATATTGATGAGAATAAAACTTGCTGAGCATGAGGCAATGCAGGCATGGGGGATTCACAGGGGCTACGTCAACCTGGCGAGGTTAAACTCCCTAAGCCCCTTTTTGAAGCCAGTGAAGCCAGACAAGCCCTCCCTGATGACAAATCTGATCAGCCAAATCAACCTCTTGCTCTGACTGCACCTTCAAGCTGTAGGATATCGTTTTCATTAAGTATAGAAGGAGCCCAGGTAGATTAACTTCAGCAAACAGACCTCACACCATCTACTTTGGATATTTAACTTGGATATAATTCAGAAAATGCAAAGATGGGAGTCTGAGTCAGTATAAAGAAGGGAAAAAAAATCAATCGGTAGCCTAATTCAAGGTGGCAGCATGATGTAAATGGCTGTGATATCAGAAAAGGAGAAAGCTCCAAGTGTGTTAACATGCAGTCATGCAAATATTGACGCTGAGTGCAATAGGATCCCTCCTCTGAGAGCTGTTATGAGTATACCCAAGTCTGTGGGGAATTTGGGCTTAGCTTTGCTGAATAAATAGCTTTCTGAGAATTATTCATTCAGTTATATTTTGCATCACCTGTAGGAGTCCTGACAAAGTAATTTGAATATTACAGAAATACTGATTTTATAAATATTCAGCTAGTCTTCTAAAGCAGTTGAGGGATAAGAGGTATTTATAAAATGAGATCAGGAAATAGGATAAATCTAGTTACACCGTAACAAACATTCATTCCTTTACAGTAATCAGTCTTATTAAAATCCAAGGCAAGGTAATATTTTATATTTGCAAGCATCATCTTCCTCTAATGTCCTACTACGTTCTGCCAGCGTTGGAAGTGCAGCTGGGGCAGGTCCCTCTCCCGCAAACCCCACGGGTGCCAGGCGAGGAACCGGCTGCCACGCACACATCTACAGCGGCAGCGCCACCCCCTTCACCAGCAGCAGCACAATTAGTCCGTGGCTCAATGCTACTGCTCACATTATTTGCTGCTAATTAAATAATGACAGTCTGATTTTAAAAAATCTCATGGAAATGAAGGGCAACCAAGACAAATGGATGCGGTGGCATCTGTATTAGGGCACCTGTATCTCTTTGGCTCTGCAGCTGTGTTTTAAACCAGGGGCTTAGCAACCACTATGTGACATAAGGAAGAGCTGGAGACACACATATCTCAGCTCTCTTTTTGCTGCCTGCGGGCCCTGGGTCTCAGTGGAGAGGACTGGGGACAACCGGGCAAACCAACCATGTGAACAGAGACATCTCCCCATCAGAACAGTGCCACGAGCCAGGGCCAGCACAAACCTGCCCGGGGTCTCCCTCCCCCGGGCCTGGCTGGGGTCCTGCTCATGCAGAAACCGGTCCAGCCGTGACTGGACTCCGCAACCCACGTGATGGTTCTGAAATTAAGTACCACTAGAGGACAGTGGAAGCTAAGAGATAGCTGGCAGTTGCTTCCCAGCAGGCTGGAGGGCAGGCAGGATTTGCCTCAGGAAGCGCAGGGGGACAAGGAACTCCCCATGGCTCCAGCACTGTGGCCGTGCATGCGGTGAGGACATTGGGCTGAGGAGGAGCCAGCAGGGAGCACCCAGTGCCATCCGAGCGAGGCTGCGCTATCCAGATCCTGCATAGATTCTGCATAGAGGATCCATATCCAAATCCTGCATGGATGGAAATCTGCTGCCACGGAGTGGAAACCCCTCAACCTACGAGCAAGCAGAGCGACCATCACTGCAATCTGCAGCTGAAGGGTCTGACGGTGCGGAAATGTAACTGCTGTGACTCAGAAAAACGTGAATCAGCTTCCAAAGCGGGGACAGCTGCTGCTTTTGATTTCACTTACAACTGTTTCTCAGTGTTTGCCTAATATCTGAGTTGTATTTCTAAAGAGAACGGATAGTGGTTTTGCATTTCAGTGAATGATAACTAAAAGCAAGTGTAATTTCGTGAGGGTGATTAACTCTACCATTGCTTGTGAAACAGCAGGGATACAGACAGAAAGCTGCTTGGAAATCACTTCTCTGGATTGCTGAATATGACTCTGCTGCATAAATCCTCACTGGATGTTAGTTTGAAATAAGTTTGCGAAGTCTCTGTAAAAGCTGTTCTCCTAGGCCTAAACTTTCAGGCCTATCAGTCCTGAAGCTCATCTAGAAAAAACACTTAATATATTTAACTGCTCTGAAAGCTTACGACGTAAAATGTGCAAAAATACATCAGAGCTGCTGTGCTCTTTTCACACTAAAGCATCTTGGATCCTTCTGCAGCCCCAGGAAATGACTCAGTATTGCTGTGAAACAGCAGCGTTTAGATTGCCAGCAGTATTAGCCCTCCCATCCAGAATGGGAAGGATCTGGACAGAAAGTTGCACGTTGTAATGAGTGGCCAAGTGGGGACAGAGCTGGAAAAACAGTGCGGAGCCTGCCCCTTTGGTGCTCTGTGCCACTCTCTGGAGAAGGAACACGCTGTAGTATCTGTGTGGATAATTCCTGAGAACTTTGTTCCAGAGCTACTAGCAGTTTCCTGGCAACTTGTGGCTTATCATTCCCACTTTCCTCTACTGCTCTCACATTATAGAGCCTATCCTGCCATTTTGCATTTCAGTTAAGCACAGTGGAATAGACCCTAAGGACTAGACGGGGATTTACTGATGGGACCCTCTACATCCCGCAGCAGCAGCAGAGCTCCCAGTTTTCTGCTGTGAACCGTATGGTGCCTACCCTGCACCATATAGCCTGGCGTACGGAGAGCAGACCTTATGTAGGAAACACTTCTGCCACACGAGGAGTGCAGAGCACTTGGCAGCTTGCTTGTTGCACCTCCTTCCAACCTCGCTAACCTCATGCAAAATAGAAGTACAGATCTGAAGCAACACAATACTGTGCCAATTTCTGTCTTTTTGGCTCAGAAGCTTACTGTTGGCTTTTAAACCCGCTATAGTTTGACATTTTCTGTCAGTTTGGCAGTTAAGGGCATGGTTTTTAGCATTCTTTAATTGCAAGGTTTTGTCAGTGAGCTGATGCACGCGGGTGAGTGGGTGAGCAGAGAGCCCATTCCTCACGAGCGGCTCTGCGAAGAGCTGGAGCGCTGAGAGACACACACAGAAATGTGGCTTCCCCCAATGACTGCAGAGAAAACACAGACTGCATTAAAATTCATGGCCTGCAGTTCTCAGTTTTATTAATGATGAAGAATCAGTAATAAATGTAGAAAAAGGAGCATACCAAAGTGAAAACTGGAGGGCAAATGGGCTTTTTTTAAAAAAAAAAAAGAATTCCTTACAGCACAGAAGGACAGAGTCAAGTTCTCTTGAAAAAAGTAAGCAACAGATGTACTACATATTCCTTTTCATATTCAACATTAAAGGTATAAACCAAGCAAGAAGCTGTCCAGCAAACTGTGCAGACAAGTAGGCACTAGTTTAGCCTCTGTTTCTCAACTTGTTCTCTACAGTAGTGCACATGGGACCTGATACCTGTTTCCAGTCTTGCTGCAGCATCACCTTGGAAGTACCTTTGGAAAGAATATAGTGAAGGTAAGTAGGAGGAGTATATTTTAGCTGCAGAAAGGATTGGATTTGCACACTCCTACCCACAGAAGGGTTCTGAAAAGACCCGTGATTTATGTTTTATATCATAAACTCACTCTTCAAGCAATGAAAGATGTGAAATTTGCCAGGTTCAGTGCCCGAGAGTTGAGTACATGGTTCTGAGACATCTAAACATAAGGGCAACCACTGAAATTTTGGTGTTCTGTCATCATGAAACAAAAACTTAAGGCATTTTTGCAAGTGGCTCCCCAAATTAAGGAAAGCCTCTAGTCCTCTGACAAGGCCAACAAGGCGACTAGCAAGGCAAGAATTTTTTGTTCCTTTTCAGAACAGATTGTGGCACCTGCAGTTCCTTACTGAAGTAGAGGGTATCTGTAAAACACCCAACATGGGTATCTTTGTGATTAGGGGTCAATAATGCACTGAAAAAAATGGAAGGAGAAAGAGATGCAATCTAAGTTCACTTTAACTCTAGCATATTATCATTAGTGGAAATTCCCAAGGTAACCTCCTTTTCCACATGGATATAATAGCTTTCAATTTCAGGAAGTCCAGAAAGAACTGTGAAATTTTAAACGAGGACCAAGAAGTGTGGCTGTAGGTAACACATTGTAGTAGATCTTAATACCTCAATTTCTGTGGCCTTTCCTATATATGTGGGTATTATCCAGCAGGGAGAACTAAATAATAATCCTTTCCTTTTTCTTCCTTTTTTGTTTCCTCCCAAAGATCATTTCTCAGCAAACCCGAGTGATGCTGAAGGAGCGTGACAAGAAGAATGAGCTGCTTCTGAACGGCGATGTTGGAGGACGGATCCTGCGCAGCAGCCTCACTGAAACAGCAAATGAAGCAGATGTTTTCCATTACTGCCCACTATTGAGGTCCTAGTGTTTCCTCCTCACTAACCACACGCTGGAAGCAGCGACCATGCATCATCTTCTCCTCTACTAACGGGCACTCAAGTATGTAATAAGTTGAATTCCATCTTGTTGATGAATCTTATTTTACTTGTTTGGCTTGGCAGGGCGTTTCTTTGTTAGAAAGTGAATGGAGACATCTGTATTTAGCAGGGCAACAGAAATGAGCTGTGCTTGGCCAGTGGTTCTGCTGTTTCACCCCAATTTGCTGACACCAGGCACTGCAGCGACTGCAGACTCGGCGAGCTGGCTTTGCAAGTCCCCTTTTCCGCCTGCCCTGTTTTGCCCGAGACAATTTTATTTCCCATGGTGTAAAATGCCTCGGGAGTTCCTTATGGTACTGGAAGACTGCCAATTCTGTATTCCCCCCTGCACCAAAGCACTAAACCTGCTAGCACTGCTGGTGGTGCCAGCGTTAACCCCGAGCACCAGCTTCAGCTCCTCCTTGTTGCGACTCGCGCCCGCCTCACGTGTTCGCACGGGCACGGGGCCCTTCTCATGCTTTAGCACTTGACGGTCTACAAGACTGGCATAAATTACTGCCCAAGGGAAAGAACTGGGTAGGTTCTAGGTAATCCACAAATAAAAAATGTTCCCCACAGCAAACTGGCAGCCCGTGACAGTCAAGTAGTAGCAGGTTCGCATCCTTCCCGCTGTCTGTGCTTTAAATGCAGGCAAATACATCTGCATGCGGCTCTACTTTATCACTAGGCCTCCCTAATAGTAGTGATAGGCTTCCTCAATGATGAATGGATGTTTTCTTCCTAATCTTCAACTTGCCTATTGAATTTTTCTCCATTTACATTTCCCAGCGCCTGAAGCTCTCTGCTGTTCCCTACTTGGTGAATTATCAAGGAAGTTATTGATTAATGATCCTTTAAGAAGTCCACTTCTACAAGCAGGGTTGTTACTACGAGCACAGCACTAAGACTTCCACTGCAGCAGCAATTTCAGTCCCAGCCACCTGTCTGATCGCCTGGCCCAAAGCCATTCACTTCTGCTCCGCTCTTGCTCAGCTGAGACCTCTGCAGATAGCGGCCTGCAGGAGCTGGGCCGTGGCACCCAAGGATCCAGCCTCCAGATGGACACAGCCACACCAAACAACAGCGGTGGCACAGCAGGATGCTTCAAACTCCACTGCTCTGCCAGGTTTCTTCATCAGGCACCCCCTGCACCGTGGCCTCTGTCCCATCTAACTCCAGCCGCCGCTCAGCTCCAGCCCTTGGAGAACCTTTCCGGGTGCTGCTGCTGTTCAGACAACAGGGAACTCGGGAGTCCGGTGCTGCCACCACAGCAGAGTTTCTGAGGTGGTGCCACCAGCTAACCCCAGGCCTGGGCTCCTCTAACTCTTGTTATTCTTCATATCAAATCCCAGAGGTACAGAGAGGCCAAGAGAAACAGGGAGAATCCAAACACTGTTCAAAACTGCCTCACATCTCACACTCCTCCTCTTTACCGAGACGGCTGCTCGCAACATGCTCTCCAGTGCGGCACAGCCTCAGCCTCACAGTGTATCCCTGCAGTCCTAGCAGCTACTTCAGAGCCAACCCGCTCAGAGGGTTAAGCAAAGCCTCCTGGGCACCCAGCTGGGCTCAGCTGCTGCCTCGTTCCCAGCAAAGCACCATTTCTTATTTTTCACCCCTGGGTAAATGAAACAGGTATGCACTGAACCCTGGGAGCAGCTTCTAAAAGACGTGATTTTCTCAGCCCATAAATGTCACTTGCTACCGAATTAAGTATTTCCCCACCCCATTTCTCCAGCACTTCAGCATTTTAATTTGAAATACAGTTAATAGAAATTACTATTTGCAAGCAGCAGTTGGGTTTGGATGTAATTCTGAGCTAAGTACTTGCCTGTTTCTTATGCACCTCAATTCTCTTCTGCCTTGGAGTGCAACAGAGAAAGCGAGAAACAGAAATGAAAGCAATCAGAAGAGGAAGGTATCTCATAAAGCCGAAACAGAAGAGCTGAAGGCTATGATTTGTTTTACATGAGAGTAACCACTCTAAGGCTTTCCTAGTGGAAATTCCCACTGTATGAAACTTGATTTTGCAGTGCAGTATTTAACATATTTGGAAAGTAAGCTTGGTTGATTCAGAAAAAAAAATGAGACATGATTCCTACAACAAAACCATTCACTAAAAAAGAGAAAAACACTAATTTTGATTTTTTTTTGCAAGGCTGAGATACTTTGCCTTCATTCTCAGGCCCCAGATAAGACCAGAACACACAATACTTTTCTGCAGTGATCAAATCCCAAGACGTAGCTGAAGGTCAGAAGCTAAAGTCCTTTCCTTTTGCAGACTGCAGTCTAGCTATCATTTTAACTTAAGGCTCATTTTTAAGTGCTAATTTCCTTATTTATGTATAGTTGTAGTAGATGGGTAACAAATTAGTTTCTAATTCATGGGTCACTAGCAAGATGCATTAACTTTTGCATCAGTGCAGATGAAGTGAGCTCTGACCTGGGAATCATCATCACAGTGGACTCAACTCCTGCAGATACCAACATTATTCTTGTAGATATTGTATATGTTAATTTGAAGTACTTCAGGGAAGAGGCTAAGAGATTAAGAAGAGAGTATGAGGGATCTTCAGTCTTACTTGAGAGAGGTATTTCTAATTAAGTTATTCGAATATGCAGAATAATGAGTTGCTCAGCAATGAGGACTAAGAAATAGCAGTAAAGAGAAGAATTGCTTGACAGATCTTTTATCGCGTGAACACAAGTATGTGTTCAGGCAAAGAACAGCAAAGAATCGTAACTCTAAACTACATTCTTGTCACTAGTAAAGAAAACTAGAAAACAAAGGATACAAAAAATGTAAAGAATAATTGGAGATAATGATGGTAATTTGTTTCCCTATTCTGAGATAATTGATCCACACTGAAGATGTAATTATTGTACATTAAAGAGATTAAACATAAGGTCTGAGGCACAGAGTGAAGACAAGCGTGAGTCTGAGATACTATAATTATGACATTTTGGAAGTCATAATATTTTGATGTTGGCCTTTCAAAATTCAGGGACAATGACAATACAAGCGAGCATCATTTCAATTGTCAAATACCTGCTATTTCTGTCCTTTTTTCTTCAGACTGCAGTCTTTGACAGAGTGCCTGCTGCCAGCAAGAAGCAAGTTCATTTGCTTAGGGGTGACAACTCGACTCAGATTGTCTTCCTGTGATTGCTAATCACCCTTCAGAAACAGCGACTCGTTTATTTACTTATGGGGCTTCTGGGCCTCGCAGTCTTTGCCTGTTTGCACTGTTTGCCTGTTTGTCTGTTTGCCTGTTTGCCTCTTTGCCTGTTGCAAAGTCTTTGCCTGTTTGCACCTTCCCTGCAGGTGATCTCATGCCTTCCCCCTCGTTGCTCCAATACCTGTGGCGATGTTCAGGTTTGAGCCTCTAATTCCCCATCCGTTGCATCGGGGGCAGTATGTGATGCACCAGGCTGGGCAGCGGCAGTCTTCAGTCCTAATTACCCTTTCTCATTAGCTTCCTCTGAAGAGCTCCCAGGCCAGGGAAGCCCCATCCCACTGCTATCAGTCAGGATGCTTGTCGGGAATGCACCGCAGTTACATCCTGCATCCCTACAGGGACTTAGTAACCAGCAACGCTGTACCACAAGCCTACTATTTTTGTTACTAAATCTCCTTTCTCTTTCTAAAAATTTTATCTACTTAAGTCTTTCAATGTTTACAACACATTTAGTCTGTTTGTACAAGACTACATTTAGTCTTGTAAACTCTTTGGGGCAGGGACTGCCTTTCACTGCCTTGCATGATGTGACACAACCTGAGATCTCTCAAGTGTCACCAGATCATCCCCCACTAAATTATAATAACGACGGAAGCAGCACATGGAGCCCATGCTCCCTATGGTCTTCAGCTTTGTCTTCAGAAACACATTTCTAAGGGCCAAGAGGAAGAGCGGGTAAGTTCCTCTGCTGGTTCTCCTTGCCTTGCTCCTGAAGCTGTAGGTGCTAATGGTGAAGATGCTGATAAGCACTCCATGGGAACACTGTTTAAATACTCCGCAATAACGAGAAGCAATTCAAAACCCTGGAAGAAAAAAAAGTCAACATTTGTATTTTGCTGACTTTTATAATGCTGCTGTTATTGAACTTCTCCGGTATCGACTGCAGGGAAGAAAGGAGCGTGACACGTCATTGTAGGCTGCTGATGAACTAAGGCACAAACCCGCTTTTGTTGTCGATAAGAAAATATTGTACCGTTTCTTCTGGAGAGCTCTCTCACACTTTGATTTTTTGTTTTTTAAGGAAGAGATAAAACATCCCATATACTATGTGGGCAGCGAAATGGCTTCTTTTGAAATTCTGGAGACGACAAAGCTCCTTTGATATAAGGCCCACGTTCCACCTCTTCTCACCTCTGTGTTGAGCAGCGCTTATTCTTGGTATCTGTCTGGGAACTGCTGCAGTATCTATTACGATTTTACTGATACCATTTACTGCCGCAGTTCAGCCAGCCTTGGTTGTGTCCACGTCTATTAATTATGTGAAAAGAGATGTCAGGCATTCAAACAGAAATGCAGGGAGGCTGCATTGGGGGCCATTTGGGGGAATGGCCTCTTAGATGCTGCACTGTGGTGACAAAGGGAGCATCACGTCACAGGTGCCATTGCTGCCTGCTTTCTAATGCGGTAACAAGAGTTATGGCAAAATATGTACAAAACATTATCAGGAGACACAGGAAATACATGATTGTAAGTAAGTGACTCTTAGCCCTTAAATATCCAGGGTGCTGGCATCTCTCAGATTTCTACAGTATCCTGACAGCAGATAAATGCCTGTATACTGTACACCACCATCCAGGGACACAACGTTTGACACGCGGACTATGAGTGCCTAAAAGGGGACATATTCCGCACAGGTGTTAAACAGTGCTGAACCTCTGCCTTATCCCTTCAGCATTAAGGATCTGCATCCTCATCAGGTAGGTAACACCAGTTTTGCTTTCAGGAATACCAGGCCTGCTTTCACCTTTGAGGACTGAGCTGTTTGGCCAAACCACCCTCCTCTGCACCTGCAAATCAACCATCACCTTGTCTAGCAGTGGAAGGCACTGCCCGCAGCAGCATTCTGCATTGTGCAGATGCTTATGTTTAAGCCCGTCTTAAACTCAGAGTGTTTTGATCAAACACTGCTAATAACTTTTCAATATCTTGTTTTATGTCTAAAGAAAGAGGGCAACAGGCAGACAGTAACATTTTTGGAGAATGCAATCCTCACCCCCTCCTGTATCTGTAGTGAATACACAGTGCCATCCTGCCTGTCACGTACCACAATTCAAGCCTCGAGGCAGGAAAGCAGCTAGTGTGTGCTATACTACCCTGAAAAGCCTTTAAATACATGTTTAAACTTCAGCAAGCATTTAAGAAGTCACCTCAACAGGGATGAGCCCTATCGGTGCCTCAACAGCACAACTGCAAGGAGCGAGAAAAGACAGTGGCTGCTGCCAGTGGTGGCTGAAGCCAATAACTCTCCTGCTAAAACCACCCACGTGAAGAGCTCTTGGCATGTCACAGCTTGCAAAACCCTATGGCTGTATTACCCACTTCATTAACATCTCAGGCATTCTAATCTCTAAGAATTTCCTTTGCCTTTTCTACTTACAAAGCACAAATGAGGAACGTTTCCATCTATTCAAAGGTAGTCCTGCCCAGCGTCCTGAGATCTGTTGCTGAATTGGTACCTGTGTAAAATCCTTCTTATTAAAAAACAAAAATGGCTGATTGCTCTGAGTATCTGCTAGTATGTTACTAATTAAAAATATATATTCTTGAGTCAGGTTCATATTATTCTGTACTTTGTAATAAGGGCAATTCTACATTCAAAGGCAGTGTTTGCATTTATCAAATGAACTAAGCCTGTCTTGATAATTAACAATTATTCAAATCCTGCCCATTATTACTCAAAAGAGTAAAGTATTTTTCTTTATCATTAGCCAGCTAGGTCAGTGAACACAAGGGCAATGTAGATCTTAAAAT